CCACAACAGAGAGAATTCCTCAGGGCGGAGCCAGACTCATCCTCTTGTTCCTCCCACGCTCCTCCTGGGGAGCTAAGAAAATGTTTATCTGCCTGAGCTTGGCCTTCGTAATTCCATTCCATCACAGTTTCTGAACTACAGCTCCCAGCATCTCTCACCATTGGCCACAGTGGTTGGGCATGTTGGGGGTCTTCATTCAGCAACAACTGGAAAGTCGCTGGTTTCCCACCCTTCTCCTACGAAAGTTATTTCTTTTATTTAATCACTGTCATCACATCATCATCTTGCCTGAGCTTAGAGCTCCCAAGGCAGGGGTGTGCAACATTTTTTGGCAGGAGCCTGTTCTTCATCTCCAAATAACGCCCCCCCTCAAAAATAGCCAATACCAAGATATATATTGAAATTTATTAACTGAATAGCGACTCTGATTCTCCAGCTAGACAGCAGCACCTAGCTAACCTTGACAAATCTAGAAAAGCTAAGCACGGTCAAGCCTGGATAGTCCTCGGATGGGAGACCACTAGGAAACTGAAGGTTGTTATCCACTTATGAACTGTTACTTAAAAACAGTATATGCTCATGAAGTCACCAGCAGTTGAACTTGGCTCAAAGGAGACTTTCTATTAGGATATTAAAAATTGCAATTTAGTGACATCTTTTGAAGGGTCTCAGAGGCCCCACTCAAGATAGACAGGGGCTGCCAGCATCTCCTGGGCCTCAGGTTCCACACCTCTGCCCCTTACAGGAGGAAGAGTGTTCCGGATTTGTAGATTTGACACAACTGGGAACCCTTCTGGCTCAGCTTGAATCGGGAATACATTTATGTATTGAAGTAAATACATTTACTTCAGTACAGTGATTTCTTAACCAATATACATAGTTCGGTGTGGGTACTTCATTAGGAGAAGTGCATGGAGCAGGGGGCTTTAATGGGTGTTCCCTCAATTACAGATCTTCCCATACTGGTTCCTGGTTCCTTGGTAAATTGCAGATGACAGTGAGGGTTGGAGCATGAGCGATCCTGAGCAGGTGACATCATGAGCATCACAATGCAGAGGGCATCCTTAGTGCCATTTGCACAAGGACATCATTGTGGCTTGTATCCGACACTCATAGGTCGGGAGTTAAAACTCAAACCATGGCAAACAGTGTGGCAAATAGGAAACAGTATGAGTTTGGTTTACATGCATGGGATCGCCTCTGGGATTAACTCCCCTGCCCTGTTGCACTGCAGCCCCAGGAGGTGGGTCCAAGGACATCTATGGTGCCCAGCCTCTTGGTCCCCCTTCTTCTGTCATTGCCCCACATGAGTGGCTGAAAATCATTACTGGTTGGGTGCACGATCCTGAATGTTCCATTATTGATTTTTTTGCTGTGGACATCTTTAACTTTCCTTGGGTGTTCTGCAAAGAAGACAGGAAAAAACTCCATTCAGCCTATAGCAATAAGTGGAAGCTTTCTCCCCTCCCCCCCTTTCAAGTGTCTCCCCATCTGAACCCTAGTTGTCAATGAGAGAATCAACCCGTGCTTGGGCTGTGCTGTTCCACCTATCAGCTGCTTATGCAGTTAATTATGCAGGTAGTCCTCGCTTACCAACTGCCTCATTCAGTGACCATTTGAAGTTACATGCCCTGAAAAAGTAGGTTTATGACTGGTTCTTGAACTTACGGCTGTCACAGCATCCCCGTGGTCATGTAGTTCCCATTTGTGACCTTCACCGCCAGCTTCCAACAAGCAAAGTCAATGGGGAAACTGGCAGGAAGTCGCAATTTGCGGTCACGTGATGTCTCGTTTAATGACTGCAGCCAGAACTGATGTAAGTTGGGCGCAGTCACGTGATATTTCCCTTTATAACCACATCGCTTAGTGATGGAGTTGCCAGTCCCAGTTGTGGTTGGTAAATGAGGACTCTCTGTAATTCTGATGTACACAGTGACAAGATGCTGTTGAGAACGAAGAAGCAGCATTAAAATAAAGGCATAACTATAAGAAAGAGGAAAGAGCTCTTTGCACGTCAAAAACTAGCACCTTAGGGTGAAACGTAGCTTAGAATCCTTCCTTCTGACCTCCTAGCTTTCTCTCTTCAATCATTGAACTTTTGTATGGAGGCTTCGTGTATTTGACGCGACCTCTTCCTGCCCAAGGTGATGTAGCCAAAGCCCAGGTTTTATCATCTCAGCCGCTAAGCCTTGCAGATTCTGTTGTTGCGCCCTCCTTCTTGTGCATCTGTCTAAGGCAGTGTTTCCCAGCCTTGGCCACTTTAAGATGCGTGGACTTCAACTCCCAGAATTCCCCAGCCAGCCAAACTGGCGGGGGAAATTTTGGGGGTGGAGTGCCCGCCATCTATCTTGATTCACGGCTGGCGACAATGGTCTTAGTAACATTTCTCTTCC